AGATTTGTAGGGAGCAAACGGAGGGACAGGAGGGGATGGGCTGAGCTGCAGTGAGCCTCAGCTCCACCCACATACCTACAGGTGAGGTCGACAGCCAACGCGTGTCTCTCCTTTCCCCCAAAATGCCCTCTCCTGGCCCTCCAAGTGCCACAATGCCAGAAGGGCTACCACCGGAGCCGCTCTCTGGGGGCACCCTGTCGGCATGCCCAGGTGTCCTCAAGGAGAGCAGCCCCCTCACAGATTGTTGGGCTCCACAGATTGGCCACTCATCAGCTGGTAATGTCAGCCATGTTGTGGGGGCAGGGGCACAAGAGAGGTCTGAGGGACTCCAGCTCTGAGGGCCACAATGCTGTCCCTCCTGGAGGTGTGGTCTCCCTATGGTGACCGCCCACCTGACTCCATCCTTCCCTCAATCCCTCAAAATCCATGTCACATAAAACCCACCCAAGCAGACTTAATTCTTGTTAAAGTGCCATTCTGTAAGGGCACCCCCTCTGGCCATTATTCCACCCACGGGACTCACTTTCCTGTCTGTGACACTCTGGAGAGGGTCTTTAATTCCAGGCATTAGGAAAACATCCACAGACATGACCCGTGATCCACCACGAAACCGACAAGCAGCTTTCTCTCTAGTTAACATAAGCATGATTATGCCCACAAAAGGTCTACATAGAGGTTCCCATGCAGTTTCTTGCTTTGCTTTCTTCCTCACGAGGAACAGGTGGAAATCTTTGGTCAGCTATGGCAAAACCAAGGTTTCTGTTTCTGACCCCATCCAATTGCAGCTTCTGCTGGTCTAGGTTCCCCAGCTCCGTTTCTGTCTCCCTGGAGCTCTCTGCCGACTCTGTCACCACAGGTAGGGGGCTTTGGGAGAGTAGGTTCGGCGTCAATCAACTACTCCCTAGTGGAATCGTGATTCCAATGATTCTAATGATGTGGAGCTATTGGCCGATGCTGCAGCCCCAATCCTTCCTCCTGTAGACTGGTCACATGAGGAAGCATGAAGGGAGCTACAGGGGGAGTTTTGCTGTGAAAGACCATCAAGGCATGAATGCTTCTTTCCAAGTCACGTTTCTGAATTGCTAGTGGCTTATTTTTGAATACCTAAAAGTCCTTTGATTTCTTTTAGCTAGACATTTTTCTTAAATGTTTTATGTGCTTTCTTGTCATTTTTATCCAAGTATCATTTTCAGACAGATTTTTAAAATTTAATGTCACCTTAGTAAACATCTAGAGTCATCAACTCATGGATGAGACTATGACGCCAGAGAACTGTGAGGACTTCCTAAGGTCCCAAAGTCAGCATCAGAGCTAGGACTGGAGCCTCAGACAGACCCGACACCCCCTCTGAGGGGCATGTCACTAAAGCAGGATGCCTCTTGCAGCAGTGAACCCCTCCACGGTGCCTCAGGCCCTCCCATGTGCACCTGCTACTGTCGCCTGCTGCAGTGTTGTGATGGCTCCAAGCCTTCTGGGTTCACTCCTTCTCCAAACGGCCCCTTTGACCCTGTACAGTCATCATTTCTGCCTACGCTGTCTTTCCATAATCTTTTACTGAAACTTTTCCCCCTCATTGAATGGCAACTCTCATTTCTTGCAGCTTTCCATGAGTCTACAAACAGAAACCACATTCTAGCTTTTCAATTTTCATGTCCCTGGGCTGGGAAACTAACCAAATAACTGCGTGAGAATTGTGCATAAATTAGGCCCGGTGTGGTGGCTCATGCCTGTAATCCTAGCACTTTGGGAGGCTGAGGAGGGTGGATGACAAGGTCAGGAGTTCTAGACCAGCCTGGCCAACATGATGAAACCCCAGCTCTACTAAAAATACAAACTTAGGTGGGCATGGTAGTGGGGACCTGTAATCCCAGTTACTCAGGAGGCTGAGACAGGAGAATCTTTTGAAGCCGGGAGGTGGGGTTACAGTGAGCTGAGGTCGCACCATTGCACTCCAGCCTGGGCAGCAGGGTGAGACTTCATCTCAAAAAAGGAAAAAAAAAAATTATGCATAAATTAAAAACAAATAGTGGCTGAGCGATGGCCAAACTGTCAACGTAACGAGAAGGCTGTTAATTGCCACTGCCACTGTATCCCCAGTACCCAGCACTCTCTAGCACATGGTAAACTCTCAGTAAATACCTATGGAGTGAATACATGAATAAATCAATGAAGAATTTCCAGGTGAGTTAAGGACAAGGACTGGGCTATTGTACTTCAGCTGGTCCAACATGCTAAATTCAACTGTAAATGGTGCCGTGTCCAGGTACCAATATCTTTTTTTTTTTTTTTTTGAGGGGGAGTTTCACTCTTGTTGCCTGGGCTAGAGTACAGTGGTGTGATCTCGGCTCACTGCAACTTCCGCTTCCCAGTTTCAAGTGATTCTCCTGCCTCAGCCTCCCAAGTAGCTGGGATTACAGGTACACACTACCATGCCCAGCTAATTTTTGTATTTTTAGGGGAGATGGGATTTCACCATGTTGGCCAGGCTGGTCTCGAACTCCTGACTTCAGGTGATCCACCCTCCTTGGCCTCCCAAAGTGCTGGGATTACAGGCGTGAGCCACGGTACTCAATCCAACATCTTAACCCCCTGTGGCATCACCCTGAGCACTTCTCCACCACTCTGTTCACATCCCCTGTGCAGGACTAGTGAGGGAAGGGAACTGACACATATGGAGCATTTGCTGTGTGTCAGGCACTGTGCTGGGTGCTTTACATACATGGTTTCATTCGATCCTCAATCCTATGTGGAAGGTACTATGTTCCCCATTTTGCAGCACAGGACCATGAGACCCGGGATATTACTTAACTTGGCCAAAGATCACCCAGTACATGAAGGAGCCTAGGATGTGCCAGGCACAGATTGGGTGCTTGATAAAAGTCTGATGAAGAATGCCCAGAGGGTATTTTGGACAACAGGAAATGGGGGTCTCCTGATGACTCCTGAAGGTTGACAGAGATAAAGCAGAGAGATTAGAGACCCTACAGTAAGGGGCCATGATTCCAGTTCAGGAATCCTCCCTCCTCTGTCTTAGCAGATAGGCATAAGCTGCCAAAGGGAATGGTAAATGTCACAGGAGACATTTAATGTCACTGGGAGCTTGGATTCCAGCCAAAGCAAATGCATTTTTTTCCTTGGGCAAATCCTGCTAAGTCCTTCCCACCCTCATCCTGAGTCCCGTGGGCAGCCTCATCCAAAGGTTTCTGTGTAAGTGGGAGTCCAAGTGCCCGCTTCTTTGAATCCCAGTCAGCAGGTAAACAGGAAAGACAAATCTCTGTCTAATGGAAGCCAAGATCGTAACCTTTGGTGAAAGAGCCTCTGTGTTCCTTTTCTGCTCCTAGAGCAAAGCCCACTCAGGGAGGGAGGGGCCCAGACCTGTCATTCATAGCACATTTCAGGCCATTTTCAAACTGGACTTGAGCCATGGAGCCTACAGGTAAAGGTAAAAGTCCTTTGAACAAAGGAGGTAAAACTACCCAGAGTGAAGCCTTGGCTCTGTGACTTCACCAAGTGGTTTCAGTTCTGCAAGTAGTTTCTCCCCAGCTTCTCCTTCTCTAAGAGGGAGCTAATGAGAGCACCTGATGGGGTGGTTGTGCATTTTATTTTTTATTTATTTGTTTGTTTGTTTGTTTACTTTGAGGCAGAGTCTTGCTGTGTTGTCCAGGCTGGAGTGCAGTGATGCAATCTCAGCTCACTGCAACCTCCACCTCCCGGGCTCAAGCAATTCTCATGCCTCAGCCTCCCAAGTAGCTGGGATGACAGGCGACCACCACCACGCCTGGCTAATTTCTGTATTTTTAGTAGAGATATGGTTTCACCATGTTAGCCAGGCTGGTCTGGAACTCCTGACTTCAAGTGTTCTGCCCACCTCAGCCTCCCAAAGTGCTGGAATTACAGGTGTGAGCCACCTCACCCAGCCTCCTATGCACATTAAATGAGATGAGAATATCATTTGAGAATGTCAGTCCTTTTTAAACTGATGTACAGATTTAATGCAAACCAAGCAAATTCTCAAGAAAAGTTTGCTGCTCTCATTATTGTTCATAAACTAAAATTTCTATAAAAGGGCATGGCTGTACACAGTGGCTCACGCCTGTAATCCCAGCACTTTGGGAGGCCAAGGTTGGCGGATTACCTGAGGTCAGGAGTTCAAGACCAGCCTGACCAACATGGAGAAACCCCTTCTCTACTAAAAATACAAATTAGCCAGGCATGGTGGCGCATGCCTATAATCCCAGCTACTTGGAAGGCTGAGGCAGGAGAATCACTTGAACTTGGGAGGCAGAGGTTGTGGTGAGCCAAGATCACACCATTGCACTCCAGCCTGGGCAACAAGTGCAAAATTCCATCTCAAAAAAGCGGGGGGGGGGGGGGCGGGGAAAAGACCCAGGTATAGATATATAGGACTGTAGGATTGAATAAGAGGGAAAAGGTGAGGGAACCATCCAGATTCATTAGAGCACTGTAGTGATGAAGAACACGACATGCTGCATTGATACAGAGGGGAACAAATTGACCAAAATATACAGAAAAAAATCCATGACCCCATGGAAACATGACACATGACGGAGTATTGTTTCTTAATGAGATGAGGACTCCCCAAAGCACTGTGTGCTCTGTCCTCATTATGCTTGCATGTCTGGCAACCTCTATGCTGACTGATGGCCATGCCTTGTGGTTTTGCTCAGCTGATCCTTTTACCTAGAATGCTACCTCAAGGCTTCGCGCAGTCCCCTCCCTTTCTCAAGGTTCTGCTGAAGTGACATCTCTCTCAAGGGTTCTCCAATCCCTGCCTGCCCAACACACCCCTACTCTAACCACCCTCTTCTGTCAGCCTGGCCACCCACCCTTCTGCTCTCACATAGCAAGTCAATCCAATGTCAATTACTCGGAGGCAGGTACCATGCTGGGCAACATCAACACAAACAGAACCAGACAGATGTGGTCCCTGCCCTGTCAGAGCTTCTGGGTGTCTGGGCAAGACATACAGTTCAAAGGCAATGCTCATACTGAGGAAGTACCTATGCCAGCTCTGGGGCACAGGGGACGGAGGGCTTGGGGCTCAGGGAACTCCCCCTGCTGTAGGAAAGACTCAGTGGAGCCCTGAGGATGAAGAGGAGGAGCTGGTGAGTGAAATAGGCCAGAAGCCATGTTCAGACAGAAGGGATATTGTTCAAGCCCATCTTTATGGCACCTGGCAAACTGTAGCGTAATTATGTGCCTACAAATCTGTCTCCCTTTCTAAGCTGTGAGCCCCAGCAGGATGATAAGGTATTCTGTTCACCTTTGTCACCACAGCTTGTACCCCAGGACCTGGCATAAAGTGGGCAAGTGTCCAAAAAATGCTTGCTGAATTGATGACTGCACAATAGCAAGTACTATGTGGGGAATCTGTGCCTGGCTCTGCATTGCCCATACAGTGCAAGACATCGGAGGAGGCTGAGGTCACAGAAAGTGGGAAGCAGCAGGGAAACTAAGGCAGGAGCTCAGCCTCAAGATTGGAGAGATGCTTTCTGCAGCTAGAAGTACTGACTGAACCAGCAAAACCCTCAGACAGGGTTTCTCAAATTTGGAACAAGGTTCTTTGATGATTAACAACTGAACAAACAAGCTCTTTCTGGAGATGAAATGTTAGGTCCTCTGCTCGGGTTCAAAATGTAATTACATTTGTCCAGAAAAAAAGAGAGATTAGGCCTAAAAACAGGTTGTATGAAAAAAGAACTTGGAGTTTTGAGGCAGGAGAATAGCAGAGGGAACTGGAGGTTGAAGCAGGAGAATAAGTAGAAACAGAAGCAAAGTGAAGGGGCAGGTGAGCAGGAAACAAGAGAAGAGGCAGAAGTTGAGCAGCCAAAACAAGGCAAAATAAATCTTTATCTTTTGATGGAGATAAAGAAACAAGTAAGAAACCCCATGGCCAGCAAGATCCAGACCAGACCAGTAAAGATAAGCTTCTCAGAGATGGGCATGCGCATTAGAAAGAAAAGCATACTTAAAATGACCCTGTATAGTAATTAGTATTTAAGATCCATGCATATGGACTGTACCTCATGCATGTACTTAAAATTATGGGATGGAGGTGACTGCAAGCGCACAAAGGTAAAAGTAACTAAGCAACTTAACAATCAAAGGGCAGATTCTGGCTAAAGATTAGGCAGATTGGAAGAGAAAAAACATATAAACGGCCATGAAATGTAACAAACTGGTGCTGATCTTATTTTGTAGAGATCAGTCCACTCTCCCACTCCAAGAGGGTGACACTGTGCTTCATACACTCTTGCTGTTTTGCTTTGCTGTTTTTGTCATTTCCAATTCTTTGTGGCACCAAGAACCTGGAACCTCGAGGCACCATCTGGTAGCACTTTTACTTGATGGCAAGCTGGACATGAACACACAGTGGGATTGTTTTCCAGGCACAGCACCCACAGCCCAGGGCAGCACTACAGGACTCACGACTCCGCAGGTCCAGCACACCTAGAGCGCATACTTGGAGCCCCCAGGCTCGGGACACTACAATGAAGGAAGAAGACAGTGAGGATAAGGAGGGGCAGCAGAGGGACTGGGATTTTTCCACCAGAAAAGAGAAGGCTCAATGGGTCCAGGATAGTCATGACAAGACCCTGCAAGGGGCTATCATGGGAAGGTGATATGCACACCCCAGAGAGCCATGGTGGTCCTGCGGCAGTGGGATATTTTGGTTCTGTGCTGCAGGAATGTCCTGTCCTGTGGTTATTCATAGATAGATGGTCCCCATGGAGGATGGTTGGCCAGCAGTGGATAGAGCTGAGAGGACTCCTGCCCAAGAAGCGAATTGGGATAAATTACCTCAAAGAGCAGAGAGCACTGGGCTTGGAGTCAGAAAAGCAAGATTTCTCCTATCTTCGACATGTGTGACTCTGAGCCTTCATTTTCTCGCCTTTAACAATAGCTGCCCTGCCTTTCTGCACTGGGTGTTTTGAGGGTCACATGACATGGTATCTATGAAAGTGCTGTGTAAACTTTAAAGCCCTTATCCTTTTGTGAACTGCACCCTGGGATACACACTGGGCAAGCTTCTAAGACTGCCCTCTCTCCTTGGGAGGCACCACCCCTGGCCTAATCCTCTGAGGCGGGCCCCCCTCTCCCCCAAAGCAGCACGCATAGGCAACCACACATACCCTGCAGCTCACCAGGCCTCTGTGAGCTGGAAGCACAGCTCCGCTTCCAGACCTTGACTCGACTGCCCTTCCATGGCTTGCAACGTGGGGAACAGGGAAACTGTGTCCAGAGGTGTTTGCACAGCACAGAGGCATCAAAACAGCCCATCTTTCTGGTCTCTTAGCTCCCTCCCTGCCCAGGCACTCGGGAAGCCAGTCAGGGCACAGTTCACTTGGGTGTACCTGGATTCTAGAGGAATCTCATGCACCAACTCTACGCATTAGCTTCCAAACATACTGTCCCCTCGCAGGGCCCGTTTCCCCTTCTCTCTAAGTGGAAGTGCTGGTGTCCTCGGAGGAGCCCCAAAGTTCCTGATCTCTAGTGCTTTAGTATACAGACTGTGGAGTGAAGCAATCCTGAACGCTGGCTTGGCCTCATCCTGGCTGCCTGACTTCAGTTACTTAACTCCTCTGAGCCTCAGTTTACTCACATGTAACCCAAGGATAACTGTGCTTCTCTGTAGGCTCATTTGTGAGAACTAAAATAGATACCACGGAGAACTTGCTCGACACAGAGGCACACAGTAAGTGCTATTATTATCACCATCCTGGGGATCTTGGGAGTCTGTTGTAACCACGGGATCCCAGTGCTTTTCGACAGGGCGGGTTTTGATGAGGAAGAACTAAGGGTAAGCGTATGGGGTCAAGGGGCCTGCAGGTGAGTTAGAAAGCAAAGAGGAGAATAGTCCCAGGGAAAAGCCAGGGGAACCCAGGTACCTCCCAACTCATGGGAATACAGGCCCTGAAAGTGCAGGCACCGGCCTGGCTCGGTGGCTCATGCCTGTAATCCCAGCACTTTGGGAGGCCCAGGGGGACGGATGACCTGAGGTCAGGAGTTCAAGACCAGCCTGACTAACATGAAGAAACCCCGTCTCTACTAAAATACAAAACTAGCTGGGCATGGTGGCACATGCCTGTAATCGCAGCTACTCGGGAGGCTGAGGCAGGAGAATCGCTTGAACCCGGGAGGCGTAGGTTGCAGTGAGCTGAGAACGCGCCATCGCACTCCAGCCTGGGCAACAAGAGCGAAACTCCGTCTCAAAAAGAAAAAAAATTGCAGGCACCAGGAATTGCCCCTCAAGTCAGGAGGTGGAGTTCTAGCTCCCCTGGAAATGGGGGATGATTCCTGAGTCCTGGGGTTTCCAGGCTGGAAGTGGGGAGAGCGCTTCCTAGGTCGTGGGGTTTCCAGGCCCCGGGTGCGGGCACCCCGCGCCCGGAGCCTGACGCAGCCCGCCCCGCCCGCAGACTCGCCGGCGCAGCGCTGGTCCATGCAGGTGCCGGCCGAGGTGAGCGCGGCGGCAGGCGACGCGGCTGTGCTGCCCTGCACCTTCACGCACCCGCACCGCCACTACGACGGGCCGCTGACTGCCATCTGGCGCGCGGGCGAGCCCTACGCCGGCCCGCAGGTGTTCCGCTGCGCGGTGGCGCGGGGCAGCGAGCTCTGCCAGACTGCGCTGAGCCTACACGGCCGCTTCCGCCTGCTGGGCAACCCACGCCGCAACGACCTCTCGCTGCGCGTCGAGCGCCTAGCCCTAACCGACGACCGCCGCTACTTCTGCCGCGTCGAGTTCGCCGGCGACGTCCACGACCGCTACGAGAGCCGCCACGGCGTCCGGCTGCACGTGACCGGTGAGGCGGTGCGGGGGCGGGCCCGGCCTCCCTGCCCGCTGGTCCAGCCCCGAGGGCTTCCTGGGTGCCAGGCGCTGTGCCTGCCGCTGCGCCAGGAAGGGCTACGAGACCCAGCCCTCCTCGCTACCCCAGGGGCCTCACACTTGGGGGTGGTTCAGGACCACCTGGGAAATGCAGAATCCAGGTCCCAGGAAGGGCTGAGGTGGGCCCCGGGATAGGATCGCAGTGACTCTCGTGGAGAGTCCCCAGTGGCTCTCAGACTAAAGCGGAGAGGAAGACAAGTGAATGGCCATCCTAAATATGGCAAGTGGTGCAATGGGTGTGTGCTACCAGCCCTAAAAGACACTCGTAGCCCCTCTACCCAGGGGGTGCACAGAGAACCCACCAAGTAGTGCCAGGCACTTTGCCAGACCCTGAGATACAAAGAGGCCTGAACCAGGGTCTCGTCCCTAGAGCAGTGGCTCTCCACTCTAGCCCCCACCCTGCTCTGCGACAATAATGGCCACTTAGCTTTTGCTAGGGGGCCAGGACCTAGTCCAATCACCCACAAGTATTAATTTGCCAAATCTTTTCAGCAACCCCTCAAGGCAACTGCTATCATGATCCTCACTTTACACATGGAGAAACTGAAGCACAGACGGTAGCATCGTTCTCCCAAGGCCACGCGTGTATTGGGACGGGGGCAGCCTGGCACCCAAGTGCCCGTTCCTCCCTTCTGAACCGCCCCCACCCCTCCTGCTCTGGAGTCCAAAAGGCTAAGGGGAGGGTTGCTTTTGCCTTTACCCGCCGCTTGCGCACTGCGATCCGCTTTCTAACCCTATACTCACCGCACCTTGACCGCGGCTAGTGACGGTCGTCTGCCCTCTTCCCTACAGCTGCGCCGCGGATCGTCAACATCTCGGTGCTGCCCGGCCAGGCTCACGCCTTCCGCGCGCTCTGCACTGCCGAAGGGGAGCCGCCGCCCGCCCTCGCCTGGTCCGGCCCGGCCCTAGGCGACGGCTCTACCGCCGCCCCGAGCCTGGGTCAGGGTCACAGTCACCTGGTGACCGCCGAGCTGCCCGCGCTGACCCACGACGGCCGCTATACATGTACAGCCACCAACAGCCTGGGCCGCTCGGAGGCCAGCGTCTACCTGTTCCGCTTCCACGGCGCCAGCGGAGTCTGCATGGTCACCCTCCTGCTCGGCGCCCTCGGCCTCAAGGCGCTACTGCTGCTTGGGGTCCTGGCCGCCGGCGCCGCCCGCCGCCGCCCAGGTGGGTGCACCCCAGTCCTGGGTGGGCGCGAGGGGCTGGGCCAGGATTCTCCTCTTAGATGAAACCACCTGGCACTACCAGAATGTCGGTTTTTTGCCCTGTGCATCGGGCGCTTTGCTCTCTTTGCGTGAAGCTCAGCAGGTGTAACCAGTGTGAAAAAAAGTCCCATTTTGCATTAAGGAAGCTGAGGCTCAGAGATTATGTAACCTGCCTTTTGAAAGAGGCACAGAGATGGAGACCCAGACCCGTCTAACTCTAGAGCCACCCCTTTACCACCACCTCACAAATGATTCCTCTGGAGGTCTGACCTTCCTAAACAGCACCTTCCCATCATGATAGGAGAAACATCCTGAGGACCTACTATGTGGGGAGTCCCCAGTGGCTCTCAGACTAAAGCGGAGAGGAAAACAAGTGAATGGTCATCCTAAATATGGCAAGAAGTGCAATGGGTGTGTGCTACCAGCCCTAAGATACTCTGAGCCCCTCTACCCAGGAGTGCACAGAGAACCCTCCAAGTAGCGCCAGGCACTTTGCCAGACCCTGAGATACAAAGAGGCCTGAATCAGGGTCCCATCCCTAGAGCAGTGGCTCCACTCTAGCCCCCACCCTGCTCTGCGACAATAATGGCCGCTTAGCCATTATTGTGCTGTGTGGGTGCTGGGAATACAGAGATGAATAAGGCATGGTTCCCTGCCCTGCAGTAGGCGCTGACAAGTAGGAAGATCATTGCAATGTGCTTTATGAGAAGGGCTCTCCTAGACCCCAGGTCTGCAGAAGCCAGAGGAGGTATGCCTCCCACTGGTGGGGCTCTAAAGAAGGCTTCACACCAGCCGTACTGGGAGGGCTAAATAAAAAGATGTAAGTAGGCATGAGCTAGAAAAACAAGGAGTGATGCTCTTCCTAGCAGAGATTATGGCACCTTGACTAGCAGGGTGTCCTGAGAGAGCCACCACTGCTGACGCTGAGCTAGATCAGAAGTCTGCCCTGTGCCCCAGAGAGGGAGGGAGCTTCTCAGAGCCCCTCAGAACCCCCAGCTCCATAGCACTAGCCTCACACTCTTCACTATTAGAGATCCACACTTATCACAGTGGCCCTGCCTGCTGCTGTGGCCACGGTGGCTTTCTTGCCTGTTCTTTGAACTCACCAAGTGTTTTGTGCTCAGGGTGCTTAGAAGAGGGGACTTTTTACGGGACTGCTCCTCAGTCCACCCCTCCCCCCACTAGCTCCCGGGCAGGATTTTCATGGTGCAGCTTCATACCCTGCTAGTCTGCTGTTTGCTTCACAGTGGTTTCTTGAGACCCCTGCCACATGGCATGGGTGGGGGCAGGTGTGTAGGCTGCAGACTTCAGTAGAGATTCATGCCTCCTCTTTCACTGTCCCTTCCACAGAGCACCCTGACACCCCGGACATCCCCCAAGGTAAGTGAGCTCCCCACCTCCACCCTACCCCACCCACCTAGTCCCCATCAGCCAGGGTGTTCAGGCAGGAGGAGTAAGAAATGGCAAAGAGCTGGGACCAGCGTCCTGCCTTGACCAGAGGCTGGTCCCTCCTTGCAGCCCACCAGGCCCTTCCCTGGATGGACCAGGTTGCTGACCTGCTCCTCCCCCACAACCCCAGGCTGTATTTCTTCCTGTAGTTTCCCCTCCACATTCTGGAACAGGCAGATTCACACAAAAGCCACATTGGGGACACTCATCCCTGCCTCTCCCCAGCACTCTGCTGAAGACTTTGCAAACAAAAGAGCCCTTAGGCGTTCTGAGGGCCTAGGTGAGGGGCCCGGGGTCCCCTAGGAAATCACTTACTCTTGGGTCACACTCTCCTCTTCTGTGGCATCTGCCCCTGTGAAGGCTGGTGTTGAAGGAGAAAGAACCCAATTCATAGACCCTGGACAGGCTGTGGCTGATCCTGGCAGGGGTGATAGGAGTGGGAGGAGGAGCCCAGGCACTCCCGTAACTGCACCCACCTGTGCCCTGAGGGCTGGAGGTGCCACACTGCTGGCGGCTCCTCTGGTGAGCTGCCTGCTGACCTCTCCGCAGCCCTATAACCTGTCCTATGTCCCTGTTTGCTGATTTACTGCCACATCAATGCCCCGAATCTGAAAGCCGACTGTTGTTCAGTCATTTAACAAATACTTATTGAGTACCTACTGTGTACCACCCACTGGTACTAAAGACACAGCAAAATCCCTGCTCTAACAGAACTCACATCCTATTGTGGAGAATTTTAATAAATACAGAAACCGGTGGCCTGACGTTGTAAAGAGCGAGCTGTGAAGGAAATAGACACAGCGATGCGGCAGATCCCCTGGGGAGGGGGCCCACTGCTGAGCTGAGGCTGCTTTAGATCAAGTTTTCTTGGAGGACATGACATTGAGAGGACCTGAGGATGAAGTCTGGGGCCTGGGCAGGAGTGGGGGGTGGAATTCCAGAGAGCAGGCCCCATTGGAGTGTGGATGTAAAACAGGGATTGGAGTCAGGAGGCCCAGGAGAGGAAAAGTTAAGTAGAAAGGCTCAGGCAAGGCCCAGGAAGAAGGCAGGCATTTCTGGAGGGTGGGCAGGAGGAAGGCAGGAAAGGCGTGGGGGTTTATTGTGGGTGCAGTGGGAAGTCACCAAATGGTTTTAAGCAGACCAGTACCCCCATCAGAACAAGCAGGCCAGGGAGAAATGGCTGGAGGCCATTGGCAAGGCTGAGGCTGGCTTGGCTGCTTGGACAAAATGCAGGGAGGTGGACAGACTGGAGGGAGGGCTTGCCCAAGGGCCCAGTGGGCAGCACATAGTGTGGGAGGGAGCCAGGCTGCCCAGGTTGGGAGCCTGAGCCCTGAGTGCCACTTTCTGAGATAAAGGCAAGAGAAGAAGAGAGTGGGGCAGGTGTGAGGGTCACTTGCAGCACCCTGGACATTGAGATTTGAGATTCCCACTGAGATGTCCTAGGCGAGGTCAGGAAAGCAGTTAGGGACCCGGAGGCCAGGCCTGGAGATTTGTAGATCAGGGACATGGAGCCAGTCTTGAGGCCTCAGGTGGAGATAGAGACTCTACTGTCTGGGCTGCCCTGACCTTTGTGAGCCCCTCCCTATTAGTGACTCTGCCCAGCCTCGGATGCTGTTCGCCTCTGAGCCCTGCCAGTTCCAGCTGCACTGCTTCCCAGCATGTCTCTTCTTCTTGGCCCGCTGCTGGCATGTTGTTTGGGTAGTTGGGGACCTCCACCTGTCTTGGGTGGTCATTCAACTTTCTCCTGTCCACAGGCCCCAGGCCCAGGAGTCCAATTATGAAAATTTGAACCAGATGAACCCCCGGAGCCCACCAGCTGCTGTGTGCTCACCGTGAGGGGTCCCTTAGCCACCAGCATCCATTTCTGCACCATAAAGAATAAAGGCCAGTGCGAGGCTTGGCTGGTATGGCCCATCCTGGTTCCTGGGCACCTTGGCAGCCCCCACCTGGGTGACTCCTCCCCACTTCAGGGTCAAGACCCTGCTCAGGGAGACTCATTTGGCCTCCTATGTGGACAACCACTTCGAAGCTCCCTGATATTTATGATATTAAGCATTTTGAAAGTGTGTGCATGTGTGTGTGTCTGTGTGTGTGTGTGTGTATGTGTGTGTGTGTACATTCATCAACCTAAGCACAAAACTTCCAGAAATGTTCCCCTGCCCTTTCTTACCTAGAACACCTGGTCTAGTAAAGCAGACAGGAAACTGTTTACAGGTCTGGAGGCCCAGTCTTGTCCTCCTCTGTCGCCGACTTGCTGTGTGGACCTGGGACACTTTCTTCCTTCTCTAGGCCTCAGTTCATTTACTCTTGAACACGGACAATAATATTCTTCCCTCTGGCCTGCCAAGGTCTGAGGAAACAATGGATGTGAAGGGCTCTGGAAAGCACAAAGCCATCTACTCGCGAGGGGCATGACAGGCCCCTCCTTGCAGAGTGACCTTTGGACATGCAAAGGAGTGTGGCCCCTGCAGCAGTGTCACAGAGAACACAGAGCTCCAGACAACAAGCCTGGGGCAGGGGCTGTGTGAACCTGTAGTCAGAGGAACATCGAATCCTGGAAATTTGGTGGCAGGGAGAGACCTGGGGCCTTTCCCCCATGCCCCCGGGATCTCCACTGTGACTCTCCCACACCCTCTGCCCAACTCTTGCCCCATCAGCTGCCCTGCATTGCCTTGAGCTGGGACCCCTAGGAAAAGGAAGCCAAGCTCCCCTCTCTCAAGGCATCTGGGAACCATTGTCTCAGGGGCTGAAGCCAGGAGATCTGAGGGGAGGTCTGGCTGGAGGGTCCCTGTGGGTAAAGCAGCTACGGCTCTGACCTCTCTCTGACCTGCAACCTCTCGGGGCATGCAAAGTCCAAATGCACTGGCAACTTCACCCCCTTTGCCCTTACGTGGCCAGGCTGACTTTGAGGGGTGCTGCTTCCCTATTTATGCCCCAAGGGTGAACAAGTTCTTGACGCTTAGGGAGAGGAGGGAGATTTAGGGAGTCCTAGGAGAGCTGGCAAGAGGAAAGGGCCACAGGCTAGGGACTAACAAGGCCAGGAACAAGACATCACAACCCAGTTACAATGGCTTTTATCCAAAAGACAGTTAGTAACAAATGCTGGTGAGAATGTGGAGAGAGAGGAATCCCCATACACCATTGATGAGAATGTAAATTAGTGCAGCCACATGGAGAATCCTAGTTTCCTCAAAAAACTAAAAATAGGCCAGGCATGGTGGCTCACGCCTATAATCCCATCATTCTGGGAGGCCGAGGTGGGCGGTTCACCTGAGGTCAGCTGTTCGAGACCAGCCTGGCCAACATGGTGAAACGCTATCTCTACTGAAAATGCAAAAATTAGCCAAGCATAGTGGCACATACTTGTAATCCCAACTACTTGGGGGGCTGATGCAGAAGAATTGAACCCAGGAGGTGGAGGTTGCAGTAAGCTGAGATTGTGCCACTGCACTCTAGCCTGGGCAATAGAGTAAGTCTCTGTCAAAAAAAAAAAAAAGACCTACCATATAATCCAGCAGTCCCACTGCTGGGAATCCATCAGCAAGGAAATCAGTATATTGAAAAAGATACCAGTACTTCACTACAGTGCTATTTACAATAGCCAAGATATGGAATCAGCCTAAGTGTCCATCAAGGAATGAATGAATAAAGAAAATGAACACAATTAAATATAATTCAGCCATAAAAAAGAATGAAATCCTATCACTTGCAAAAACATGGATGGAACTGGCAGCCATTATGTTTAGGGAAATAAGTCAGGTACAGAAAGCTAAATATCACATGTTGGCACTCATATGAGGAAGCTAAACAAAAGTTGAAATTGAACTCATGGAGATAATAGGATAATGGGTGACAGGGGCTGGGAAGGATAGCAGTTAGGAAGAATGAGTAAAATCTAGTATTTGCTAGCACAAGAGGGTGACTATACTTAACAACTTACATATTTTAAAATAACTAAGAGTGGAACTGGAATGTTAAATACTTGAGGTGTTGGATACGCTAATCCCCCTGATTTGATCACTGCACACCGTATGCCCGTATCGAAACACCACATGTACCCTATACATTTATGCAGCTATTATATACCCATGCTAATTAAAAATATATTTTAAAGAAAGAGGCAGCGATGCTTTTTCCAGGGAGATGGTCTGAAGGTCAAGGAATCTTCACAAGATCTTCACAAGTTATTACGCAGGCCAGTGGGTTGCAAAGCTCCACTCCTCACCAGAGCCTTCACCAGGGCAAGAGGTAGCTCCTGATTAACTTGGGATTCATCCAGGATCCTGAGCTGTTAAGAGGTCACAGGAGTATGTATATCTCCTAGTATAGGGATGCTTTGGGGCACCTCCATGGAGAGTCCTGCATCACCAGGAAAGAAGTTACAGACACAGGAGTGGTGTGTATTGCAACATCTGCCTGGTCTTTGAGGCCAGTTTCACAGCCAAGAAAAATTGCAATAGGAATTATTTCTTAAGATCTGCTTTGTGCTAAGAATCAGGCTAGATCTTTGGGGACAAAAATGAATACGGCATCTGTATCAGGGTGGGCTAGGTTGTGCTGTGATAACAAACCACCCCCCAAGTCACCATGGTTGAAAACAACAGGTATTTCTTTCTGTCCAAAGCTACATGCCCATTGCAGATCAGCAGGGAGGTGTTGCTCATGATTGCTATCAGGGACCCAGCTCCCAGGGATCCACCATCTCTGATGCTGTGATTGCTGGATGAGAGGTTAAGAGGAAGTCCTGGAGGGCCTCCCCTTGTGATAGCAGACCATGAGTCAGAACTAGCCATGTGTCCCACACACCTGTAAGAGACCAGGCAGTGCAATGCTACATGCTACTTGGACGGGGAAAGCCAGGAACGCTTGGGAACAGCACTGGGTAACTCCACAGGGAGACTAGAGAGTCTCTCACACCAGTGAGTGGCACAGTAAGTGGAAATCAGGTAAGGGCCACAGTGGAGGTAGCTGAGGGTGCTATAGGAGCACCCAAAAGGGATAACTGGCCCATCTCGGGAAGGCTTCCTGGAAGAGTATACATGGATGGTATGCATTAGCTATGCAAATGGGGGAGTTTATAGGGGGAGAATAGGGGTTGGGAGATAGGTGAGAAAGGCTCTCAGCAGAAAGAACAGTCTGAGCAAAGACCACGAGGTTGGAGCCAGCATGGTGCATAAGTGCTTGAAAGCTGCTGGAGGATGAGGGTAGACGCAGGGCATGGCCTGCAGCAGTAGGATGCCTCAAGCTGGTGCATAGTGCTGCCCCCAGCAGGGATGAGAGTACAGAAGGGAACCAGAGTGGCCCACAGCTCCAGCTCAGTGCTGGGCTTCTTGTACTCAGCATGGTGGGTTTCACCCATCTGACCACTGCCTTCTCAGAGCCAGAATGCTCTGAGGCTGAGCCCTGGGCACTCAGCAGTGTCTCTCAGTGGGCTCTGAGGGGCACCCGAGTCAGGAGCACCTGGAGAGCTTGTCCAAGTGCCCATCTGAGCACCACCAGGGCCTGCTGAGCTACAGGTTGGGGGCAGGGATGTGGAGGGAGAAGGCCTGGAATTCTAAATAATCAGGTGATTTTGTATTATCTTTGTATTATGATCTTTTTAACAGACACCCAAAAGGCTTTAAAAAGTTAGCTAACCCCCCATGGACCTACCCCCTCCATTCAGTGGCAACTCCTATTTTGCCATATTTGCTTAATGTACCTGTATGTGTTTGGCTGACCCATTAGTGAGTAAGCAGCAGACATCAGTTCTTCAGCCTTAAATACCTGACCCCTAAATATTCTCCTCTATCACCCCAATACCATCACCACACTTGAGATCATTAACTTGAATTCAGTATCACTTTACAGTCCATATTCAGATTTCCCCAACTGTCTTCAAAATGCCTTTTTGAGTTTGTTGTTTTTAAGCAGGAAGCAGTTGACTCCAGGTGATTCTTAAGCTAATGGTTGAGACTGCAGCTCTGGGTGTGCCTGGCGTCAGCATGGCAGTGCAGATGTGTAAGGGTGCCAGGTAATCAGCTGGTGATAGCTGATACTTACCCTCTTGCGGTACTGGCACTTTGAAGCAGGGCTTC